TTTTGCTTTATCTTTTGTGCATCTACAAGAGATTTTTTTTTTGTGGTTACCAAGCCATCTTATAGTTATGTCATTTTAAGCTGCTAATTTAACTTCATTTGCATACTAAGACTATACTTCAATTTCTCTGCATATTTTGCTATTGATGCCACAATTAATCTTTATATATTGTGTATCTTTGAACAAATCATTGCAGCTATTTTTAATACTTTTGTCTCTTAACCTTTATACTAACTTAAAAAGCAATTTACACACCATTATAGAATTAGAGTATTCTGAATGTGACTATGTTCTTACCTTCAAAATGAGTTCTATACTTTAAAAAAAAATTTTTTTTTAAAGATGTGGGGTACAATTCAGGGTTAGGTATACAAATGTTCATTATGCAGGTACGCTTGTTGATGAGGTGAGCGCCCACCCCCACCCCCAGGCATTTTCCCACTACTGCAAATTCCTTTCTTATAGTATTATAGTTGTTCAAGGTCCACTTATGAGTGAGAACATGTGGTACTCAGTTCTTTGTTTCTGTGATAGATCACTCAGTATTATAGACTCTAAGTCCATCCAAGTTGCTCCAAAGTTCATAATTTTGGCCTTCTGAATTTTATACTTTCATTTTTCATGTTAGTTCACATCCTTTTGTTTCAACTTTAAGAGCTCCCTTCAGTACTTCTTATTAGGCAGGTATAGTGTGTTGAATTCCCACAGCTTTCATCTGGGCAAGTCTACATTTCTGAAGAGGATCCTTGCTAGGAATAGTATTCTCAGTTGGCAGTTTTTTGTTTTCTTTCAGCAACTTGAATATATCATCCTACTCTTCTGGTTTGTGAGGTATCTGCTGAGACATCTGCTAATAATTTTATGGAAGTTATTTTGTATATAAGTTGTTTTTCTCTTGATGCTTTCAACACTCTTTTTGATTTCTGGGAATTTCATTATAAGTAATTGAAGATTTCTTTATTTTTACTCTATTTGGGGTTATTTGGTATTCATGGATCTGGATGTTCATTCCAATCTCCAGATTTTGAAAGTTTTCTGTCATTATGTCTTTAGATAAGCTTTTTTCCCTTTTCTCTTTCTTTGCTTCTAGGATTCCCATAATGCACATTTTGGTTTACTTAATGGTGTGGCTTAAGTCCTGTAGGTTTTTGTCACTTTTTTTGCTTGCTTGTTTCCTCTCCTGGGTAATTTTAAATAACCTGTCTTTGAGCGTGGTGACTCTTTATTTTGCTTGAGTCCTCTGTTAAAGGTTTTAATTGAATTTTTCAATGCATTTCTGTTTCTCAGTTCCAGAATGTAATTGGGGGAAAAAAAAAAAAGATTTGTCTCTGTTAAACTTATTTTGTTGATGTCTTCTTTTGTTTAGTTGTCTGTGTCTTCTTGTAGCTCACTGAGCTTTTCTTAGACAATCATTTAAAATTCTTGATTATTGATACTTTTTTGTTTCTCTGGAGACACCATGTTTCCTTGATTATTTGTGATTCTTGCTTTTTTGTGTTGAAGTCTGCATATTTTAAAAAGTAGGCATCTTTCAGTCTTTACAGACTGGCTTCAGCAAGGAGAGCCCTTCACTAGTCCATCTGTCCAGAGGTTCTGGGTAGGCCATCTGGTGGAGTACTCGGGGGCTGGCATGGTGCCTGCATTCACAGGGGCCAGCCTAGCACTGGGGCCTATGAGGGCACACCTGCATCCTAAGCCATAGGGGCCAGCCTGGAACCTGGGTCTGCAGGTGCCTACTTTTGGATTACCCTTTTAATTGTATATTTTGATAGATTTTGGTATATTCGGGGTTATGAAAACATCACCACTAATTTTAGAATACTGCCATTACCATAAAAAGAAACTCTGTACCCATTAACACTGTGTGACTCTCTTACCATTGTAAGAAGGATGTGCATAACTTCACAGTAAGTCTTTTTAAGATCTAGAGATCTAGTGTTCTTTTCACCGTGTGTTCCTCCCCTTGACATGGTGATGTTTTTCTAGAAATGGGGCACCATCATGTCACATCTTTTAAAAAAATTTTTATAGAGATATAGGTGCTAGTTAGGATTGACTACACAAGTGGGTTGCATGCAGGTGAAATTTAGGCCTCCAACTGGTCTTCACTGTCCCTGGTTTAGGACCAGGTACCATTTGTGTTATTGCCTGCTCTCCCTCCCTCCTTCCCTCTCCTGGTAGTGCCCAGAGACGCTGATCTCTCCCTTGTGCTAATGTGATTAATGCTCAGATACCACTTATGAGTGAGAACATGTGGTATTCACTTCTTGTTTCTGTGACAGATCACTAAGTATGATGATCTCCAACTCCATCTAATTTGCTGTGAAGTCTATGATTTTGTTCATCTCACATCTTGACTTGATAATGAAAATGAAGCCAAGCCCTTGATAAACTGAGAGGCATATGTGGAGTGGCCAAGAAATAAAGCTTTGTTGTTTTAAGTCACTGAAATTTGGAGGGTGGTTTGCAGTTATTAATACAGAATAACCTAGACTAACATCGTCCCTAGTTTAGGACCAGGTACCTATCCATCCTGTGACTGTTAACACAGGATCAAAGTCTGTTTGATGAGAAATTACTTAGGGGAAGCAAAGTTATTTTTAAAATATTTAGAATTTATAATTTTAAAATGAATCTGTATACTAATTGTCCTCTTAAAATGAAGGAAAAGATACTAATTTTTAGTCAGATGATCATTGAAAAGAACTTACTTCATTTGAACCGAGAAAAGGACACAGTCATATAAATTTTTCAAGGAGATGGGCTAATATGAATCTTTCATAAACTGTGATTTGCTGAGCAGAGCAGGAGGGGTATCACTGTTTGATTCTATGCTTTCTTTTGTCCTTTCCTTTCCTTTTTCTTTTTTTGTGTCAGGGTCTTACTCTGTCACCCAGACTGGCATGCAGTGGTACAATCATGGCTCACTGCAGCCTTGACCTCCTAGACTCAGGTGATCCTCCCACCTCAGCTTCCTGAGTAGCTGGAACTATAGGTACACACCACCATGTCTGGCTAACTACACTTTATTAAGGTTTCTTTCTGGAATTTATTTGGTCTGTAGTATAAGATGAGGTAGATTGATTTCTTTTCCCCAATCACTTATCATTAGCTTATATTAAACATAATATAATTTTTCTTAAGTGAGTAATTATAATGCCTCTAGTCTCCATTTTTAATATCACATCACTGTTCAGTATGGTTGTGAATAAAATGTAGGAGCTATTCTGTAATGATCTTAAGATAGACTCCATTCATTCCAATGCTACAGGCCCAATTTAGTTTTTTAATACTTGTCACTGCAAAGTTCTATCAATTAATCTCCATGTCTTTTGTTCTCTCCTTCTCTAACCTACTGTTTACTAGTTGCCAGATTAAACTTAAACATAGTTCCAGCGAAGGTTTTTGCTCTCAGAAAATAATTCAGCTAGGCTTTTGTAGTAGTTTGCTAGGCCTACTTATAACTAAGCACCATCAACTAGGTGACTTAAATGATAAAATGTTATTGTCTCACAGTTCTGGAGGTAGAAGTTCTGGAGATAAAGATATTCACAAGGTTGGTTCCTTCAAAGGGCTATAAAGAAGTCTGTTCCATGCCTCTCCCCTAACTTCTGGAGGTTTTCCAGCAATATTTGACATTCCTTGGCTTGTAGAAGCATCATCTTAATCTCTGCCTTAATCTTCACATGGAATTCTCTCTGAGTGTGTTCAAACTTCCTCTTCTTATCAGGAATATCCTTTATCATATTGGTTAGAGAGCCTACCTTACTCCAATGTGACCTCATCTTAACTAATTACATCTGCAACAACCTTACCTCCACCTAAGGTCACAGTCTGAGGTACTGCAGGGTTAGGATTTCAACATGAACTTTGGAAGGGACGCATCATTCCTTAACAGTATTCAAGGCTTTCTACAAGGTTTCCTACTTATCTTTTGTCTTTTCCCTCCTTATCTTCCTACTTCACTTTATACTCATGACAGTGTACACAACAAAACTCTACCCTTCTGTTAATCATGACAATACTTTTCCTAATCTATTCATTTCTTCGCCCCTAATTCTTTTGCATCTGCTCATCAAACCCTATAAATTTTTCAAGGTCAAAATTAAATGATCCTTCTTCCATAAAGATAAGTCTAAGTTTCCTATCCAAAAATAATGTCTCTCTTTTTTGTGTCCCTAAGTATATTTACCTGTTCTTGTCTTCTGGAATTTAGCATATCCTAAATTGTGTTGTACATGGCCTACTTACATGGTTTATATTCTTCACCAGACAGTAAGTTCCTTATGAGAACAAGGTACACATCTGATTCATCTTTTTATTTTCCCATAGTACTTTTGCTTTATAATATTTGTTGAACAAAGTTATGAACATCACATAAATTGCAGTGCAAAATCTTTGATATTAGTTTTATCATGATTATTTTCTTTTTTTAAGACTGCAGAAAAATCTCATTAACGGATGCTTTTGGCTTTCATATATAAAATGGAAATGAACAAATGTTTTCAAACCAGTACATAGTTTCAGACCCTAATCCTGACCCTATCTAACAAATTAGATAATTTGAAATTACCAATATCCTGTGAAAGTCCATTAAAAAACCCCAAATTTCTTCCTACAATATTTTTAGATGTTTCAATAATACAGAAAGGAGTTTATTTCATTCATTATTATAGTTGATTAAATATTTATTAATTCCATTCTAGGTAGTTCAAATTTATTTTTGAAAAGGAGATATTCCAGAAAACTTAAAACTGAAAACATAGTACCAATACCATACAAAGATTTAAGAGTTTTAAGCTAGAACTTAATTTATTTAGTAAGAAGCAAGGGTGCTTTGCCTGTTTTCTTTTTAGATGAAAAAGTGAATTCTTTATATTATATGCTTTGTTTGTCTTTGTATATATGTGTGCTGATAGTCAAATGTGGCACAACTTTAGACAAATAAACAGTTATGAAATAAACTTCCAGGATTTAGTCATTAAGAGTGTATCAAGATGCTTCTTCTATACCTTTTTTAATGAATAAGGTATCAAGATTTAAGGATTTATACATTAAAATAAACACATTAAATATATTTTGATATCTACTAACTTAAATACTCAAGAACTTGGTTCGAAGAGTCCAACAAACTGAAAGGCTGCTTTTCAAGAGTACCATGATCTTCTATCAATGGAGAGATTTTGGCATTTCTATATTCTAATAATTCACGATCCTTGCTTGATGTCAGTAATTCATTATTGACTATACCAATAGTTGCTTCTTCCACCAGAATATTTGCTTGGTACGCTCCAACTGGAATTTCAGGCAATCCAATGTAGTCATGATCTGTCACTACTGAACCTTGCAGTAGATAAAGACTTTCTGAAAGAAGAGACACCATAAATTAGATTTTTAGAATTATAATTAATAAATATCATTTTATTTAACAATATTAAATGAGGAATAAAATCCTAAGTAATAAAAATTAACTATGAAGATTAACTGCCAGGGAGTTCTCTTATTTACTAAATAAATATGTAAGTCAAACGAAGAAAACGACATATAAATTTGACCAGTCATATATAAAAATTGTAGGATTTTAAAATAGCCAAGTTTTCTGTTCTCTTGACCTCTCTTTGGTAGATATGTATGTATGGGGAATAGAGAGTAGAAGGAATGAGAAATAGATTTTTAAAATATTATAAAACTTTATTTTTTATAATGATGATATTCTTAATATGCTTCTGCAAAGCATTTCTGAGTGAATTAATGGGATCATGACAAATATTTTTCATGTTATGCCCAATAGCAGCAACTGTTATGCCCAATACCAGCAAGAGGAAAGAAAAAATGATCAATAAAATTGAAACACCTTCAGAGGGTGTTGCTAGAATAGTTAAATCTTTACATTTACAACTGTCACAATTCTCCAATCTTTTTGAAACCCATATTAAGAAGATAATATCATAGTTACAATATGAAGCTCAAAACAAAATGTTAAATCAGGTTTATGTAATAGGAATGTATAAGGAGACAGGCAGCAATAAAGTAGCTTAAAAATTCTTATTTAAGTCTAATTTGATACCAAGATTCTTAAAAACTTTTAAGGTCTACCTAATCCATACTGAAGTACTGACAAGGAAAATTCCTTGTCAGCATTTAATTCTATTTTGAGCTAATTTACCACCATAAGGACGAAAAAAAATGTTTAAAATGAATGTTAAACTGATGGCAAAACAGCAGTATCTTTTTATATAAAGTCAATGTATATAAAAGGATTCCACCCTATCTGATATTTTAACTCATTACAACAAGAAACTCTTTACTACAGCTGATTAACTTCCCGGCCCTGCCTTCTCTTTATGGATTGTGTCCCAAAACAGAACAGATTATCTTGAAGATTATAATAGCTTAAGGAGTCCTCAAATTTTAAGTTCAATAAAACAAAAGGAAGATTAACTGCCCACTTAGATTAGAAATCAATGAAAGTTTCTCAGAGCAGGCAAATTTGCTAATCTATCCTGAAAATTGATCCTACTCTACCCTTTATTGTAATACTATATGAATAGCTCACTGAGCCTATTTCAGCCCCAGAAATTAATGAATTTAACAACTTTCAATTTACAAACTTCAATAGATCACACAAAGTTATTCTTTCCATCAAAAATTAGAAAAGGGAGCTTGTGCTTGTACGGTCTTTCAGTTTTGCCCACAATTCTGAAAGACAAAAAATAAATCATGCAACACATGAGAAGTGTTAGGCTAAACAGCAGCAAGAGGAAAGAAAAAATGATCAATAAAATGGAAACACTTTCAGAGTGTATCGCTAGAGGTTTAACATCAAAGTTTGCTATGAACCTATTGTTAATACTAAGAATGCTAGGTAGAATTTTATTAGAGAACTTATAAAGGTTACACATGGTAAAAGTGTTGCTGATGAAATTTTCTAATGAGCCATGAAGAATTCCATAGGTTCAAGGTTTGTACACTGCCGCAAATTTATCAATGATAGCAGAAACCAGAGCATATAAGGCATTTTCAAAGACATTTTCAGAGATCTTTCAGGAAGGAGGTTTTCTGTCTGAAAATTTTTTTCCATGCAAATGAAGCATGCTTTTCTACTTTAGAAAAATATGTCCAAAGAACAGATATCAACAGGGAAAAATATGCCTAGATGTAAAACTCTTAGAAGTTACTACTTTGATTTGCTGGAAATAGACTCCGAGACCTTCAATTTAAGCACATCCTAGTTACACTGGAATCAGCAACAAATGGACTTTATCAATCTCACCTGTATGTAAAAGGAGAGCTTCTATATGTATGTAATATACACATACTTTTCTTTTTAATAAGTGATAACCTTTAAAATAACTTATTATAATAAAACTGTAGAGAACAAGAACTATACTCAAAAACTTCTACACAATTCACTCTATATACAATGGAAAACTACTCTGAAGAAGTCAAAGACTTGTTTGTGTAGAAAAAAACAAAATTCTTATTCATTCACAGAGGTCAAATATGTTTCAACTCCTACAATGATCTAAATCTACTAGAGTCAACAGAAAAGTTTTTTAATTTCAATAAAGATTATCAGAAAAGAGACTCTTGGAGCCTTATGTATATGTTGAATTAAAAATATTTTTGTGCCTGAGCCTGCGGGTTCGAGATTCGCCTGGGCAGCAAGACCTCATCTCTACAATAAATCAAAAAATCAGCTGGGCTTGGTAGTGCATGCCTGTAATTCTGGCTGCTCGGAAGGCTGAGGCGGAAGGATCACCGGAGCCCAGCAGGCGAGGCTGCGGTGGCCGGGAGCGGCCACTGCACTCCAGTCTGGGTGACAGAGTGAGACTCCAACTCAAAAAAAAAAAAAAAAAAAAATTTGGCTGGGCTTGGTGGCTCAGCCTGTAATCCCAGCACTTTGGAAGGCCAAGAAGAGTGGATTGTCTGAGCCTACAGGTTTGAGACAAACCCAGGCAACTTGGCAAGACCTCATCTCTACAATAAATAAAAAATTAGCTGCACCTGTAGTTCCTGCTACTTGGAGGGCTGAGGTGGAAGGATTGCAGGAGTCCAGCAGGTTGACGCTGGGGTGGCTGTGGCAATGGAGTGAGACTCCAACTCAAAAAATATATATAAATATTGTACATATTAGGTTACATAAAATATATTACTGAAGTTATTTTCTCCTATATCTTTGTGCGTTTTAATTGTGACTACTAGAAAATTATATAGTTTTTGTAATATTTATCTATTGAACAACACTGATCCTAGTACAATCCTGAGTTAGGGATACAGATATAGAAAAGAATATAACAAAGTTTTTCAAAACAGAGATAGAGAGGGCAAATAAACATGCCATACTAAAGAACTTTTTCTATTCAATTATATTACACAATAGACTTTACTAAGTATTTTTTCTCATTCTATTAATTCAGTTATGATTATGACATCTGTTTGATGAAAGCATCATTTCAGTTTTGACCAGATTGAAGAAGACTGAGGCATTTTCAAGACATTTCAGGAAGGTGTTATCAGAAGTTTTGATACACCTTTCCTTATCTACACTTAAAAAGTAAAAAAAAAGTGATGAAAAATAGATTTTAAACTTTTTCTAAGGAGAATAAATAAATTAAAATCAAAGCCTTTAAAAAGTCTGAATGATTTAGATTAATTTATGTCTTCAAATAGGAAAAAAAATACAAGGTTTCAGACTACTTAACATTCCTATTTTAAAGAGAGGTGACTAAACTAATCTTATATATGATCTGATAATCCTCAAACTATTAGAATGTGTTGCCATGATTATGTATCCTTTCTCATGATAAAATAACAACTATAATTTTATACCATATCCATTGTCATTAGAGTAACTGATACTATCACAAAGAATTGAATAAATTTTGGTTTAGAAATTATATAACTAAGAGGCCAAAGAGAAGGCTCTCTGAATAAACTATATTAATAAGAATGTTAAGATCATGGCCTTAATACCATAGAAACTGAGCTTTGTTTCATAAATGTAGACTATAGTTGTCGTAGGTAGAATAATGAGCTCCCAAAGATGTCCACATACGAATCCCTGAAATCTGTGAATACATAACCTTATATGGCAAAGAAGAATTAAGATCGCAATGGAATTAATGTTGCTTATCAGCTAACCTTAAAATAGGAAAATTACCCTGGATTATTTGGGTGGGCCCAAGCACAAGGGTTCCTCAAATGTGCAAGAGGGAGGCAGAAAAGGAGGTTGGAGTAATGTGGTGCAAGGACTCAACTCACCACTGTGGGCTTTGAGAATAAAGGAAAAAGGATCATGAGCTAAGGGATGAAGGTAGCCTCTAGACGCTGGAAAATACAAGAAAATGGATTTTCTTCTAGGGCCTCTGGATATGAACAGAACCCTGCAAATGCCTTGATTTTAGCCCAGTAAGACTTATGCTGGACTTCTAAGCCTACAGAACTGTTAGATAATAAATTTGTATTGTTTTAAGCTATTCAATTTGTGGTAATTTGTTATAGCAGCAATAGGAAACTTATACAAAAGTGAAAATCATTTCAAAAATGAGGGATTTCAACCGTAAACAGAAAGAAGACTAAAATCTTTGCCTAAGGTGGATTCAAATCTATCATAAACACAACAAAACAGATTATAAACCTACTCAAAACTTATGTGGGATGGAATAATGGGTCAATAACATCATTTTCCCTTTCAAAGGGAAACAACATTATGATTACAAAGAAACACTATAGTATTTTTCAAAATTGCTTGTTAAAATAGTCTGATAAAGTGCTTGGCAATGAACTAGACAAAATAACAAACAAGCCTGCTTAAAATAGCAGTGAGAAATACTGCATACCTAGTACTGAGTGTGCTTGCTCTACATTATGTTCTAGATAAGAATGGATAAGAAGTTGGCAATAGAAGCATTTCTGCTTTAAACAGTAGGTCTTTAATATAGCTATAGCATTTCAAGGCTGGTAAACAGCAGCAACGACAAGTATAAACAGAAAAATTTATAGTTCTTTTGTATAAATTCTGTCCAAATTTATGTCAAATAAAGTTGAATGATTATTTAAAGACATTTGTTTTAAATTCAGCTCAAGCGCTCTTTAAAATCAGCTTGCAAGATGAAGATTTTCAGAAAAATATGTAATACAGAGGCAAAGATGACAGAGATCATATCTATTTTGAATTTCTACAAATGAGAGAAACACAAAAATGGACCAAACAGAAGTCAAGAACCAGATTCTAGAATGGCCAGATCAATGTTTCCTTTGTTTAAAACAAGAAAAACTAGAACAAATTCACCCATTAACCTCAGGTTCCTTATGTGTACACCAGTCATCATATTGCAATTTTCTTAAACTACTGGAAGAAACTTCTGCAGAGAATTCAAGCATGAAGCAAAAATTATACTGCTTCTGTTTATAAATTGTTTCTCTTAACTGCATCTGAAATATTCAAAAGAAGCAAAATATTTGGCCTCCTTTCTAAGAAAATCTTTGGCAAGAGCAAATTGCAAAATGAAACAGATCCTGCTACAGCAAAATTTTAAATGCAAATTTTGTATTAATTATGTAAAGTTAACACATTAGAAGAGAGCAAGTACTGAATGCCAAAGAGTAACTGAAAAATCATGCTAAAGAAGACACATGTACCCATATAATCTTTTTTTCCTACTTAACTGGTGGAAGGGGGAGGTCATTAAAAGTGGCTTAGAATTGAGAAGAGGCACAAGGAATGAAAGCACTTATCTTCTAACAATGAGAAGGAAAGTCCTTGAGAGTTTTCAGAATTAGAACATAGTCCAAGATAAGTTTACTGACCAGAACAACAGGGTCTATTACAAGAAAAGGCACTAAGAGTTTTTAACAGAAGCAGAGTTGAGCTATTATTAAGGAGCAGCCCCAAAAGCTTCCTATTTTAAAAAAAGATGTAGGGTATGTTATTTGTTGTTGTTCCTCTTTTTGTTACTTGCTAAAGCTTGTTAAATAACTTAATTACTTATGATGTTTAAAAACATACTATATCTTCCATTAACTGTTACTCACATTCAAATAATAGTAATGATTCATCTTTCTTCATAGAAAAAGCACAATTAACTGGCTAAGGGACTAATTAACTTCTTGTCAGTTATCCACCTCAGAGAAACACTAGCAAGCAGACACAGGAGGACAAAATAAAATAGTCTTGATAAAGTAAGGGACTTAATCTGAAAACCATGGCAAAAATATCATTTAACTAGTGCATGAAAGAAAGGGTGAGAGAGAACAGGATATTTTAACTGTTCAGAACCAGTCATATTTTGGGGCTAGTGCTATTATCTCTTCTTATTGCACCTTATCGTATTCTGAGTACCCCCAACTCTGCACCCTCACCTGCTCCCAACCCATGACCTAACTATAAAGCAACATTAAAAGATTATTCACATTTTAAAAGTTTCCTAATATATTTATGTCACAACTGGATTCTGAACAGTATTTGCTCAGAAAAGTTTGTTTTGGGCATTAATGATCTTAGTTGCTGTTTCCCATACTAAAATAAGACACAAAGTGACTAATGGAACATTGTGAAAGAAAAAAGAGAAGATGTAATCCTTCCTTCAGTGAAAACGGGTTCAGTATCTCCCAAGTGGACTATGAAAAGCACACTCGAAATCAAATTAAATATATCATAAGCATGACAGTATCAGAAGAAATATTCTGATGAAACAAACTACCTGAGATATATAACTATACCAAATGTTACACAAGTGAAAAGGAAAAAGAAAACCTAACCAAAGGTTTCTATAATTTCATCCAAAGAAAGCAAAAATGTACAAAAGTGACAAATATTTACCTTGTTCACTGGATTCTCTTACATAGGGCTTAAGGTGGGACATTTTGATAGGTCTTTTAAGTCTAGCCCCAGTGTTGTCTCTCAGGACAGCACATCCACTTTCTGTAATATAGTCAATGACGCAAGGACCAACCCATTCAGATTGGAAACGACCATCCTTCCACCAATTTTTCCTTTGTCTTAAAACTTCATGACCCACTTTTAAATGGAATGGATTTAACTGCTTTGGTTTCTTTTTAACAATAATCTTGCTTTTATTTAGTTCATCCAAATTGTTGTTCTTCATCTACAAATGTGGAAAAAAAAGTAATGAAAGAGCTATAATTTCTTGAAGGTAAATGCAGATATTGAAAATATTATTGTAACAAAATGGTTATTTATTGAGATGCTACTAAAAGGTAGGTAGAAATATTTTTTAATTTTTAAAATAACATTTCAAAGTCAGAATTATTACTCTTACTTTACATAGAAGATAAACTAAGATATGTTAAGCAATTTGCCAAAGTCAAACAATTGAAAAGCAGCAAGACTCTGGATTTGAATCCAGTTCTCTAGCTCCCCAAATCCATGGTTTTCTCATTACTGTCTATCAGAATTTCATAGCTAATAAGCACACTATTTAATCAAGACAAGACAACTTTGATAAATAAAAATTCTAGTGTAACGGTATATCAAGCGCGCGCGCACGTGTGTGTGTGTGCATGCGTATGCATGCACCTATATATATGCTAAAACATTAAAAATAAATACTACTTTGCAGGTTTTTAGAGCTTTTCTACTAAATAGAATCACCTGGCCCACTGAAGTTTTCTTATTTTCCATTATTTTATCAGCTTCTTTAATTGCATTTAGAATTTTGGAAAACATACTTGTATTATCACCATCCACTTCATGAAGACTATCAGAAGACTCAGGAATACAAGGATTTCGATTAAACATTTGAAAATATGGTGTATTTTTAGTAGGCTCCTATTATAGAGAAAATAAACAGCAATTTTGTAGTAAAAGATTTATCTGGCCAAGGAAGATGTAACTCAGAAGCACAAAAGCATAAAAAGGCACATACCAAGTGAGTTACATTGAAGGCAAATGAAACAGCCGATAGATGATCATCCCAATTATTTGGGTGGTCAGCACAGTGCTTGGAAAGAAACGTTTTGATTGTGTTAGGTGTACTTTCAGTTGGATTAACAGTTCCAGAGCTGTGAGAAATTACAATCTGCTTTGTGCCAAACAATCCATACAGTTCAACATTGATCTGAAAAATATGTAAAACAAAGTTGGCTTTTAAAAATTGTGTTTTATTTTTCCATTGATTAAAAAGGTTTCAAAAGAATTAGAATCTTGTCTTTTTCATTGACCATAGCCATTCTCTATGAAAACACATTTTGTTTAAAATAGTAGGTACTGTGGCAACCCCTTTGGGTCCCCTCCCACTGTGGGAGCTTTTTTGTCCTCTCAATAAACGCTGCTTTCTAAAAAAAAAAACTAAAACTAAACTAAACTAAAATAAAATAAAATGAGTAGGTACCATTTATTGAGTCCTTACTATGTGTTGATCAATACACTAGATCCTTCACATTATTGTCATTAAACTTTACTACAATTTTACAAGGTATTATTAATTTCATTTTACAGATAAGATGCTGAAGTGTTAGCTGCCTTGCCAAATACACACATACAACAAGGAAATGAAAGAACAGGACTTAACACTAATTTTGAGTTCAAGTAATTTTTTAATTCAGTAGAAGTCTCTCAAATAAACATTAGGTCTCATCATCAATCCAGTTAACAGTGACTTGGCCAAGTCACAGAACCTCTCTGTACTTGGTTTTCTTTTCTGAAAAACAAAGCCCTACCTATGATTCTTCCGACAATTAGATGAGTTAATGTTTGTAAAACACTTAAAACAGTTCTTGGCAAGTAATAAGCATTTTATAACTTTCAAATACTACTATTATTGTTGTTGCTATTATATATATATTACATTATATATATTATGTGCAGGGCCTAAAAGAAATCAAAATGAGTTTAGAAAACTTGTAACAATAAGCCTGTTACATGTAAAATAACTATTTTTCCTACATTATCCCTCAGACTTTTTCCCCTTATTATTATTATTATTATTTTTGAGTTGGAGTTTCACTGTCACCCAGACTGGAGTGCAGTGGCCGCTCCTGGCCACCGCAGCCTCAACCTACTGGGCTCCGGCGATCCTTCCGCCTCAGCCTTTCAAGTAGCTGGAACTACAGGCGCGCACTACCACGCCTGGCTAATTTTTTGATTTATTGTAGAGATGAGGTCTCACCAAGTTGCGCAGGTGGGTCTCAAACCCGCGGGCTCAGGCAATCAACTCACCTCAGCCTCCCAAGGCGCGGGATTACAGGCTGAGCCACCGAGCCCGGCTTATTTTTTTAATTGAGCAAACCTCTGGCTGACAAATTTGTCTTTTAGAAGAATAATATTTCAGACAAGTAATATCAGAATAACTAAACAAGTAAAGATAATACAGGAGAAATAAAAAGTCAGCAAATACTCAAACCTGAGACATGTTAGAGGCATTTGTATTTTTATCTTCTGTTTAATAAACCTCCCATGTTTCCATGTTTTATATTATGTTCTAATCTTTAGCAGTGTTTTCTGCATATTTTCTGACAAAATAATACTTCTATTTTGTCATCATTATGCTTTCTGTGTAATAGGCCATTTTAACCACAGAAAAAAAGAACAAGTTTTCCCAAGCATATGCGACTTTTTGTTTATCATTATTAAGAAACTTCAAAAAAGAGGCTTGTGACATTTGCTGTTACCTTAAGTAAAAATTTCAAAGTCCTGGATCAGTTATCACATGACTTTAAATATGACTGGAAAATCTGCTAAACACAGTGACTTCATACTATCATTAGCTAATATCTTGAAGCACTGTATGCACTTAGGGTAAGACTTTCATTAAAATAAGAGTAGAAGTAAATCAATATTTTAAAGAGTATTCTTCACGATTTTTAATTTTGATGGTAAATTTTCTTTTTTTTACAGCTTAATTTTATTTATTTTCATTTTAAAGATGTGGGGTACAATTCAGGGTTAGGTATACAAATGGTCATTATGTAAAGTTTGAGCCTCACTTTGGTCCCTTCACCTGGTTTGGGATTAGGTACACTTACTGATGAGGTATGCTCCCCTTCCCTCCCCTGGCAGTTTCCCACTACTGCCAATGGTTCTTGTAGTATTAAAATTGTTTAGGGTCCACTTATGAGTTAGAACATGTGGGGAACTCAGTTCTTTGTTTCTTTGATAGATCACCCCCAGTATTATACATTCTAAGCCCACCCAAGTTGCTGCTAAATTCATAATTTTGTCCTTCTTTATGGCTACATAATATTCCATCATGTATATGTACCACAATTTTTTTATCCAGTTCTCTTTTGATGGGCAGCACAGTTGGTTCCATGCTTTTGCTACTGTGAATAATGCTGCAATAAACATGCTGTGTGCAGATATCTTTTTCATAGAGTGATTTGAGTTCTTCTGGGTATACTCCCAGAAGGGGGGTTGTGGGATGGTATGGAAGGTCGATTTTTAGATCTTTTAGGAATCGTCAAACTTTTTTCCACAGAGGCTGTACTAGTTTACACTTCCACCAACAGTGTAGAAGTGTTCTCTTTTCCCTGCATACTCTCCAGTAACTGTTGTTTTTTGAGTAATTGATAATGGTCATCCTGACTGGAGTTATGTGGGTAAATTTTCTAATAGGCCTGATTATAGCAGTTCCCCTTATTTTTGGAAATACCATCCCAAGATCCCCAGTGGATACCTGAAACCTCAGGTAGTACTGAACCATATATATATTTTATGGTTTTCCCCATACACACATACCTATGATAAAGTTTAACTTATAAATTAGGCACAGTAGAGATTAACAACAATTACTAATAATAAAATAGTACAATTATAACAGAATGATAGCATCAATATTCTTGCACTTTGGGACCATTATTAAATAAAGTAAGGGTTATTTGAACACAAAAGACTGAGACATCATGCCACTTGATCTAATAACCAAGAGGGCTACTAAATGACTAACAATGGGGAGAGGGCAGTACATACAGTGTGGATATGTTGGACAAAAGGATGATTCATATCCCAGGCAGACAGAGCAGGACAGCATGAGATTTCATCATGCTTTTCAGAATGGTGTACAATATAAATTTTTATGAACTGTTTATTTCTGGCATTTTCCATTTAATATTTTTGGATTGCAGTTGACTGCAGGCAAATAAAGGGGGACTACTGCAGTTAATATTTGTATATTTGTTTTCATCTCACTAATCTAACAAAGAGCTAGTACTAAAAGTTAAGTAGAAGTGCCAGCTCTACCAATTTCTTATGATTGGTGGGCATCTGCATTTTCTTCATTGCAAGAAATCTAAGCTATGTGTCCATTCTGTGAGGAGTACTTTGGTGAATGCTAGATGACATACATACATTCAATTAAATGCTGGAAGCAAAAGAATGAATGAAGAAACCACTGTAGACTTCTATATGTTGTGAATTCTCACTTTTTTTCATGATAACTTCATATGCTGTGTGATATACAATCCCCAACTTTGTTGATCGAGTCAGAATGCCATTAACAATCTGTACACATTATTACTAAAGCTTCAATTCTAATTTTTTTTTTTAGAAAAAAAAATTAACAATTCCAATAGTCTTCTTCCAAACTGGATTGTTTTACACACTCCATTAGCAGACCACTGCTATGTCAATCAAATGAATGTGTCCATTTATAAAACACAAGTTTCAGTGGGTGGCTTCACACAACAAAGTTTTACTTCTTGCTTGTGCAAAGTTGCTGTTTGGGTGTTTCTCCAAGGCAACTGTTGTCTACTAGGTGCCTCAACAATCCTAGATAAGTTCCATCATCTTCTAGAGTAATATCTGCACTATCCAGTCAATTTCCCAGAGAAACATAAGACAGGGAAAATGAAGAATTGAATATGAGATTTTTCCTGCCTCAGGCTGAAAGTAACATCCATCCATTCTGTCAAATTTTTTTGACCAGAATTCAGAATTAGATATTTGGACTTGCTTACCTGCAAGAAGCTTGGACAAGCTTTCATATTTGGATGGGTAGGATAACTTAGTTATTGCTGAGCACTAGTACCTTGTATCACAAATGTTACAGATAATTTTGCATTTTTCAATCTCTAAAACTATAAAAGCAATGTAATTATAATACATATAAACTAAAAATTAAGATTAAGAAAAAATCTATAATCCCATCACTCATGAAACTTAAAAAGCTGCCAGGCACGGTGACTCATGCCTGTAAACCCAGCACTTTGGGAGGCTGAGGTGATAGGACTGCCTGAGCCCAGAGGTTCGAGATCAGCCTGGACAACCTGGTGAGATCTCATCTCTACAATTAAAACAAGAAAATTAGCTGGGTGTTGTAGTACATGACTGTAGTTCCAGCTACTAGGAAGACTGAGGCGGAAGGATTGCCTGAGCTCAGCAGGTAGAGGCTGCAATGGCCAAGAGTATGCCACTACACTTCAGCCTGGGTGACAGAGAGAGACCTGTCAAAAAGAAAAAAATTTTAAAAACTCAATAGTAACCTTATAGATTTTGCTTTAGATTTTGTTTTTTTTTTTTGAGTTGGAGTCTCACACTGTCGCCCAGACTGCAGTGCAGTGGCCGCTCCCGGCCACCGCAGCCTCGACCTGCTGGGCTCCGGTGATCCTTCCGCCTCAGCCTTCCGAGTAGCCAGAATTACAGGCATGCGCTACCACGCCCGGTTGATTTTTTGATTTATTGTAGAGATGAGGTCTCATTGTCCAGGCGGGTCTCGAACCCGCGGCAATCCACTCACCTCAGCCTCCCAAAGGCGTGGGATTACAGGCTGAGCCACCGAGCCCGGCTTTGCTTTAGATTTTATATGACTTTTTACCTATGCAGAAAGTAAATATATGTATATAGACTATGTATATGTAATAACATTCTTTATCTAGATTTTTAATTTAACATGACAGACATTTTCTATGCTATTTTGCTATTTCTTTTCTTTATTTTTGAGTTGGAGTCTTAGTTTGTCACCCAGGCTGAAGTGCAGTGGCATGCTCACCACCACCACAGTCTTGACCTGCTGGACTCAGGTGATCCTTCTGCTTCAGCTTTCTAATAGCTGGACCTACAGGCAAACACCACCATGCCCAGCTAATTTTTTGGTTTATTGTAGATATGAGGTCTTGCCATGTTGCCCAGGTTGGTCTCGAACCTCTGGGCTCAGGCAATCCACTCATCTCCACCTCCCAAAGTGCTGGGATTACAGGCGTGAGCCACCGCGCCCAGTGCTATTTCTTTTTCTTTGTAATTGTTTTTAATGGCTACATTAAAATATGTCATCACATGGCTAGACATATTTTTCTGAAACATTTCTTTTTTTTGTGGATATTTAGGTTGTTTTCAGTCTTTAATGTAAAAAGCACTGTAGTAAACATCATAATAAAATAATTGTTTCCATATTGAGATAATTTATTTAGAATAAATTCTTAGAAATAGAATTGCTAACCAAAAGACAAAAATATATTCATGGTTCTTAATGGATCTCTGGACAATTGCTAAACAAAAGAATTAGTTTTAAGTTGCAATGTTACCAGTATTGTAAGCCCATATCATTCTACTTGTAGTCTATTTGGAATTACTATTTTTGCTGATTATATAAGCAAAAAATTGTCTTATTTTGCATTACTTTTATCATGTTTGAAAATTTTTTCCATGTGTTTAATTTTTCCCCCTTGTAAATTATCTGTTTTTGCTTTTGACTAAATTTATTCATTTGTTAAAATCTTTTATAATAGACATTATCCCTTTCCCGCATGGGTTCGCCTTATTTTTCTTGGTCTATTTCTTAACCTTTATATCTTGATTATTTTACCGCATGTAAGTCTTTCATTATTATGGAGCCAAACTTAGTGTTTTCCCATTGAAATTGATACCACCGATCCTAAACGTAGAATGTAACCTCCATCTCTAGGAATTAAAAAAAGCCAAGTATATCTTTTTCTAATTAAATTTTTAAAATTTCCTAATTTACCTGAAAATAATTTTGGCATTAAATTCTAAAATAATACTGCAAAGGTAATTACAAACAATTAGAAAATTGTTACCTAACTGTTAATTAATTGTACAATCCTTCCCTCCTCTACTCGTTTGTTATGATAGCTTCATCATTTTAAACAGTCAGTTACCAAACTCTGTACAAAGTTGCCCCCTTAATATCTGTGGGACACCAGGAAAACCACTAGTTTAAGATAGCTCCTTTTCAACATTAGATGAGGTTATAATCTTTTTGATTATATCATGCTTTTAAAAAATTGTTTTCATCAGAGGCTTCGTAAAAATAAGTGTGAAACAGAAAATGAGCGCGGAAGTGTGCCATATGATTCCAAGGTTTGAGGTACACAAAACCCATTAGCAAGTAATTGTGATTATTTAAGAATAAAAAAATTTTTTTTCTTTCAATAAAACAAGTATTATTTTTTAAATGGCTTCTAAGTGGTTAGGATACAAATGTTTATTAAGTTGCTTGGATGGATTTGTGAAAAAGAATAAACAGGTAACTCTAGCAGATTAACGTAATGGATCTGAGACTGCTATCCTTTGAAAGGCTCTTTAAAAGGCAGGCCTTCAGTTAGTGTCTTAGAACTTAGGTTTTGGTTAGAGGGCCACATACATTTTTTGATTCTGAGAGTCTACAATTTTGGTACATGCCAGGCAGAAGGTAATGACATGTTCAGCCCCCAATAAAATCACAAGGCAGGCTGCACTCAGAGGCTCACACCTGTAATCCCAACACTTTGGGAGGCTGAGGTGAGGGGATTGCCTGAGCCCAGGGTTTTGAGACCAGCCTGGGCAACTATGAGACTATGTTTCTACAATAAATCAAAAAATTAGCCAGGTGTAGCTTGGTGTGCACTTGTAGTTCCAGCTACTTGGGAGCCTGAACCCAGAAGGTTGAGGCTGCAGTAGAGGTGATGGTACCACTGCAGTCCAGCCTGGGAAACAGAGTGAGATTCCAACAACAAAAAAATGCACTAGGCATCGATCCTCTAATAAGCTTCCATGGTAGATAAGGTGCCACATGTTGTCACAACTCATTGCTGGGGGAATTAAACTTGTCTTGTGTAGCTCCCCTGGGAGAGGTAATCTTGAAAGCTTACATCTGTATTCTTCATTGACTAAATCTTAGCCATGAGTTCTACTAGTAAGTCATGGAACCTAGGAATAATCCTAGGGACCCTGACACAGATCCTAACTACTTAATAAATCTATATTTAGGTATTTCTTTTGGATTGAACCATTAAAGGTACTTTGGATCAAGAAAGTCTACCTCTGATTCTTCTTACACCAATATCCTGTCAATTATGAACATTTTCAATTATGCCTTGAGTTTAGTAGTTAAATTTTTCATATATATGCTTGTCTGTTTATTCTTTCAGGTTAACTTTAATCTGAGAAAAGGTAAGGGAAAAATATCTTTTAATATTGAATATACTTATTCATAAACATGATCTATTTATCCATTTAGTCAAGTCTACCTTTACCTCATCACAGGATTTTTAAACTAAATTAACAAGGATTTTAAACAAGGATTATTTGTCCAAAGCTCCTCATTTTAGTTTAAGGAAAACTGAAGACAGGTTAGTACTTAGTGCCTAGTAAGTACTAAAATCCTGATCTCTGTATGGAATACCATACCTCTGTACCCACTGCAATTTATCTAAATGTATTAGTTATAACTAATTATAATGCACAGGGCACCATGTCCTAGACACTAAAAGGGAGTCAGATATGCTCTAAGACCAAGTTGTTTATTTGTCTTACCTGTTGAATAAATTCATCTCTTTGGTCCATTATTATTTTCTGAGGAGGTCCATATAAGAAAAATATATTGATAATAGCTTTAGAAATTTCTGACGCTGAAACATCACAGAGAGGCAAAATCATAACCCATTTTGTGAACAAATCTGTTATGATTACAGCATACACATGACTTCTGTTGCTTATATGAAAAGGTCCCATCAGATCAACAGTAACTATACTCCATGGATTGTCCACCTTGAGAAAGTGCTGTTTAGGTGCTAGAACAACTGTATTTTTTGCAACTTGGCAATGCTGACAAGCATATACCTACAAACAGGCACACAACAAAGAAATACACATAAATGTTAATATTCAACATACTATAAAGCAGTCCTATAAATGTGAATTTTAAAATGGGTAATAGGTATTTGGAAGGAGAAAATTCTGGATCAAGAACAAACCACGGAGTTATACTTTCTAGTCAGAACAACAAGCAAATATTAGTTGCTATTGTAATAGACCCTTGAACAATACAAGATTGACCTGTGCAGGTCCACATATACATGGATGTTTTGAAACCAAACATGGATTGAAAATCAGTATTGGTGGGCAGAGGTATGTAAATCCCAAGTATATAGAGAACCAACTTTGTATGTGAGTTCTTCAGGACTTACTTCAGGACTATGAGCAGATTTGGTTATATGCAGGCAATGCTAGAATCAATCCCTCACATACACTGAAGGATGACTATATTATTAAATGATCATCTTACAGGGTCTTATTCACATGTAACATAATTCTGGTTCACATTCAATAAATAGTAAATATTTAAAACGATATTTAAATAATTTTTTCATAATTTTAAATCAGCATGTAAATATACAATAATTTCTATATGTAACAGATATTTCCTTCTAAAGTTATCATTTTAAGTTCATTCACTCAATTCCAACAATATGTATTGAAATATAATCTCATTCATACAATATTTACAGATGCCAAAAATTTTTCTAGGTCCCAGGAACAGAGAGTAAACAAAAATAAAGCCCATGCTGTCAAGAAGTTTTCATTTGAGTGAGGTTGAAAAGAGATCAACTGATCAATTTCTGAATATATTTCTGGAATTCCACTTTGAAAACTATTCCTATACTAACTTCTGAAGAAAAATTTAAAAGCCATTTTTCTAGACTTCATCACAAATAATTTCTGATTATTTCCAAAAATCATATCTATTCTAAAGATTTGACAATTTCAATAAATGTTTGTAAAGAAATGTACTGTAGGTTCTGAAAGCAAATATAAATATCAAGGTCTTTGGAATACTTGCATAAACTCATAAATTGGCGACTCACAGATGATTCTTTTTTTTTTTTTTTGAGTTGGAATCTTACTCTGTTGCCCAGGCTGGAGTGCAGTGGCACACTCATGGCCACCCCAGTGTCAACCTGCTAGGATCCAGCGATCCTTCCACCTCAGCCTTCCAAGAAGCTAGAACTATAGGCGTGCACTACCACGCCAGGTCAATTTTTGATTTAGTGTAGAGACGAGGTCTCACAAAGCTTTCTGGGCTGGTCTCGAACTCTCGGGCTCTGGCAATCCACTTGCCTCGGCCTCTCGAAGTTCTGGGATTACAGGCTGAGCCACTAAGCCAGGCCCACAGATGATTCTTAAACATTAGTTTAATTCTTTGTGCTTGAAATGCCAGTCTTTTTGATGCGCTATTATAATTATTAAAGAGGTCTCACACATATACCAGGCAATTACTACCATATGGCATACAGTATACTAGAAAAAGTAGAATCAATTGACTTATTGGCAAGAACCTCAAAATTCCCATATGTGAATTTTCTATTGGGAGAAGTTAAAGATCCTGATGGGTTAAAAAGTTAAAAAAAAAAACCTTGGACTTATTTCACTATCTTAACAATTTGACTTTGGATTTATTTGGTTTTGGGTTTCTGCCATGTTTGATATTTTCCACCTTAAGATGGAACAGACAGAAAAAATAAGAGCACACACTGGACTTGACTTAATATGAACATAGTCTCCTCTGAAGAATAGCCTGTATGACTGCCATTAAGCAGGTAACGATTTAGTCAAATTCTAGCTCCATTTAAATTCTGTCTATACAAGAAAGTTAAATGATAAAAATCTGGTTCTAAATAATCTATCTCAATATGGTATTTTCAAACGTTTAAGAATGCTTCTTTCTTGTTCACATGATACTACTTTAGGGATTTAAGACAATTGTGAAGGAAAACAAAACTCTCTTTAGTTAAGTGGTTTTTATACCAAAACAATCATACAAAAAGTACTTCATGAGAGGTGATAGAGTAAATCTGGAGCAATAATATATTTTAAATACCTACTAGAAAGACATTATTCAAAATATTCTAAATGCATAAGCCATACCCACTGTTTGACATCATTGGTCACAGATGTCCAATAGTAATTGGATTCCACTAGAGTGAGAGTTCTGGATATGCCATGATGAGCTCCAGTGTCATTTTCATGACATTCTCTTAGAACTTTCTTTTTTTCCTCTTCTGAAACAATTACCAAACGATTTTGTTTTCTGTCTTTTCCAACATAAAACAGCTTTTTTTCTGGAATAAATAATATAAAAATGATAGAATCACCATTTTTAGAGATCTATATAGTTCTCAGATAATCATTGCCTTATGAAGATTTTATTTTGTCTTATAAAATCTTACCATGTTTGAAACAGAGTATTTATTTGTAATGACTCTATCATATACTCGAAAAGGTCTTCAGCTGTTACACTTACTAGGTATCTAGGAAGAGTATTAGCTGCTATAATTTTGTAGCTAACAATATAAGCAGAGCTAGCTTACTCACCAAAGCATGTAACAACTATGGAAATATATAACTGTCTTTTTACGGGAGTATTCAAACTAGGAATATACTTACAGACACCTCCTAAAATGGCATAAATTAGCAAATATACTCTGTACAGATACGAAACTCCTGGAATAGAATTTTCTAAAATAGTATTTTATCATAAGTACATTTTCATAAGCCACTTCTCTCAGGTTTTTCTAGATTTGAGTAGAAGAAGGTAAAGTGGGACACCTTAGAAGAATGTGCAGCTAGAAAATAATCAGGGGATGGATAGAACCACCACCTACCTCTCCAATGTGAATGGGGTAGCTATTCAAACTCTAGAATACACCATTAAGCTAGCAATGTGCTTAAGCACATGCTGAATGGAACATTCCTTACCTGAATTAGAAGATAAGTTACCTGAAATCAGGAACCTTATTTATCTTATTTATTAATATATCTCCAAGGCTTAGAATGTGAAGTATACATAGTAGAAACTCAGCAAACATGTTACATAAGTTATTTAATAAATGAATGAATGAATCCTCACTTTAGACTATGAGGTAATAGGTCTGCCTGTTCTTTGTTCTTTCTTTCTTTCTTTTTTTTTGAATCAGAGTCTCACTCTGTGACTTAGGCTGGAGTGCAGTCACAAGGTCATGGCTCACCACACTCTTGGGCTCAAGCAATCCTTCTGCCTCAGCTTCCCGAGTAGCTGGGACTACAGGCGTGCACCACCACACCTGGCTAATTTTTTGTAGAGTCAAGGTCTTGCTATGTTGCCTAGGCTGGACTCAGACTCCAGGGTTCAAGCATCCTCCTGCCTTGGCCTCCTAAAGTGCTTGGGTTAAAGGCATGAGCCACCGTGTCCAGCCAGTTCAGCTTGTTCTTAAGTATAAAAGAGTTATTGGTAGGGGTATACACAGGGAAATATGAGCAGGCATTTATTTATTATTTTAGAATTTTCTTGATCTGCTTTGGAAAAAGCCAAATGCTGTACGTACAGTCAAAACCACCATTAATAGCCCCAATATTCATTTAGTCGTCTAGTGCATATATTTGTTGCTTATTTCATCTCAAATTTCTCTTCTCCTTTGAAGGAGGGGGAAAATTATTATGACCTTTCATGGTTAATATCCCACTGACTGTTAAATATTTAATCCAGCTGAGAGATTCAGGGTCCTAAAATAAAGTGATCCTGATCATATTTAATGGCAGTCAGAAGGGGAAACTACAGAAATATAGCTAATTCCTCCTATTTTTCATGTTAGTAAACAAACTAGTTAACTTTGTCAACATTTTCATATTAAGCATCAAGTAAGTTCGTCATAGACAGTGGGTTCAGTGCTTGAAAGTACATCATTAGAATAGGAACCACTAAAGGACTAAAAAAGAAGTTGGCAATTTAGGTAAATGTTTTGTTTTCTTTCATGGTATCATTTTTCTGTCTATAAATTAACTACCTTTCCATGCTTACTGGCCTTCAGTTAGGTTCAGGGTGATTTTCATTCTGCTTTTGAGTAGCATCAATTCAACTGAAACCTGTTTAGCAACAACCAATCACTAAAGTAATTATCAGGATTCCACAAAGAACTCATGTGGAGAAGAATCTGTAACTCTGCAGTCAGAATTTTAGACAGTAATTCTACCTTTGAAGACAAATTTTTTTGCTGCTCTTCTTATGCCACTTCTCTCACTTGGCAGTGTAGTTGGATGATATTCACCAGTTCGTTTATAATATGCAATCTGCTTAAGATGAAGGTCACCATTTTTTCCACTACGGACCATTGTGAACCTAGGTAAAAGGATTTTAAAAAAATGATAAGCTAATTTAGTTGCTATTTCAGTTCAGGCTTCTGTCATATTTCTACTTCACATGCATTAAGCATTCCCAGAATATTATTTGCGAGGGAGATAATTACAGTACAGGAACGGAACAGTGATGTATGTGAACTAAAATATTCAAATGCTATTTTTGAGATACATCATGACAAATTATCTTGTCTCTTTTTTCTTGATAAAAAATGCTGAAATTTTTCACATACTGGGAAAAATGGAAATGAACAAGTACACTTCAAAAAGGCTACTTAAAGTCTCTCACTGCTCTCAACTGAAATGTTACCTACACAGGATGGTTCTGTTATGTGACAAATAAATAATGACAAGTATAAGGGGATAAATATGGTCTTATGTTACTTCTAAATATCTTCATGGTCATTTCTTCTCTTTGTTACTTCAGCCCTGGGGGTGGTAACTATTTTCTGCTGTTTCTAGTCTCCAGGTGCTATGCTGATTTCTTTGTTCCTGTCTGTTTATAAAAAGGAGCTTAGTTGCATTTTCTTTAAAAATCTCAGCAAAGTATGTCTTCTGTTTCCTGCTAGGACTCTGATGTAAAAGCTTACAGCTTTGAAATTAAAAAAAAAAAAAGATGTTTACTGATCACTAGAAGATCTAGGAATGAGACTTAAAAAGTATATTACTGCAAAGAGCATTTTGGAACTAAACAGAACAGACTGTGCCTATCATTGTAGTTTAAATAGTCTCTTCCCCTATGATACAGCTCTTTGCACAAGCAAAACCATTTTTCTGATCTATTTATAACTTCCAGAGAGAATACCAGTGCATTTCTAATTTTAGGTTTATATAAAGTATGAGCCACTTCAAAAGCAAAGATTCTGTAATACTAACATAGTCCCATCATACTAAAAAATGATTAATTATCTCTATAAAGTGTTATAGAACAATTAGTTTATTCTAATTTTAATTTACTTTCAATTCAGCATTAAATAAATAAATTCCCTTCATTTTCAAATAGATGTCTGTACCCTCACATTAAACAAACAAATGTGGCCTATCACAGTTTCTAAAATATCTCAAAATGAATGGATCAGATTTTAAGGCTTTCTAGACAAATACAGTAAATAAGACAATGTAGTACTGGCATAAGAACAGACAAATACATCACTGTAACAGAACAGGGAGCCCAGAATTAGATCCTTACATATAAAGTCAATGCATTTACAACGGTGGCAGCAATACGATGAGTGAAGTGTTGGTCTTTTCAATAAATAATGCTGGAACAACCAGATATCTGTACATGAAACAAACAAATGGACCTTAACCACCTACCTTACATCTTCTAGATAAATTAATTCCAGATAAAATCATAAACTTAAATGTGAAAGAAAAAAACGATGCCAGAAGAAAATATAGGAAAACATCTGCAAAATATTAAGTTAAGCAAAGATTTCTTAAACAGGATACAAGAAAACACTACCAATAAAAAAGTATAATAATAGGACTTTATCAACATCAAAACTTCTGTATATCATCCTTAAGACACCATTAAGGATGTGGAAAGGCAAGCTACAAACTGGGAGAAGATATCTTTAATATGTATATCTAGAAAAGAGCTCATACTCAGCATTTTTAAGAAACTTCTAGGAATCAAAAAGAAAAGATCAAAATCTCAATTCAAAAAATGGAAAAATCTTTACATGGTATTTCATAAAAGATAACATCCAAGTGATCAATAAGAAAATAGAAATGTGCTCAACATCATTACTCCTCAAGGCAATGCAAATTAAAACCACCATAATTTATAACACACACTACCAAACAGGATAAAATTAAAAACATGGACAACATCCAGTATTGGTGAAAACGGGTAGCAACTGGAACTTGCATACATTATGGGAGTACAAAATGTTCCAACCACTTTGGAAAATCCAGTTTTCTCTAAAGCAAAACAGACATCTACCTTAAAGATAATTCTACTTCTAAGTTTATATCCCATCAAAACAAGTATATGACTATCAAAGAATGTGTACCAAAATGTTCACAGATGTTTTATAGTCATAATAGGAAACAGCAAAGTTATCAAGAAGTTTTACCATGTACGTGCTCAGTCCTTGTCCTATAGCCACTTCTACTGCTATTCAGTTTCATATTGTTCTATAGCCACTTCTACTGCTATCCAGTTTCAGTGTTTTTTAAACCATCTGAGGCAAAGAACTAGTGTAACCTACTGTTCTGCAATCTGTCATGTAAGACCCTTTGATGCCTCTACTTTTGCGTCATCCTCACTACAGCCTCTTCTCTGCCAAAAAAAATGCTGTGGTGAACGTCTATCAAATTTCAATTCAGAAAGGTTTGTGTGATTTCAGGAAGGAATACAAAGTCTATCTGTCAACCTGCCCACTTGGCTGCCTGCTATTCTAGCTCTGCTTTAACTCTCCTTAACTCTTAAAAAACAAGTAAAAATCATTTTTTCATTGTGTCCTATTTTCATCTCTAGGCTATGTTGAGAAATGTTCTTTCAACTCAAGGGACAGAGATCTGCCCCTTCTCTGTTTAAATCATTATAAGGTCTACATACTGTAAAATTTATAATATACTGTATATAACCCCCAGTTATAGTTTTCCTTTAATGGTTTTTGGAACCACCAATGTTCCAAATCATAAAAAGAAAAATCTAGATATATCGCATTTTAGCTAGCTTGGGAGCATGGTATTTATAGGAAGATGAGGTTTATAAAAAGAAGATAAAAATTTTTTAATTCCTCCCTTTCAGAGATGTGTAAAAACTTCTGAAGGTCATTAAAAAGAAGAGAAGCTAGCTGGGCTTGGTGGCTCAGTCTGTAATCCCAGCACTTTGGGAGGCCGAGGCGAGTGGATTGCCTGAGCCCGCGGAATCAAGACCAGCACGAGCAACTTGGCCAGACCTTGTCTCTACAATAAGTAAAAAATTATTGACTGAGCCTGCGGGTTCGAAACTCGCCTAGGCAACTAGGTGAGACCTCATCTCTACAATAAATAAAAAAAAAATCAGCCGGGCGTGATAGCACATGGCTGTAATTCCGCCTACTTGGAAGGCTGAGGCGGAAGGATCGCCGGAGCCCAGCAGGTGGAGGCTGTGGTGGCCGGGAGCGGCCACTGCACTCCAGTCTGGGCGACTGAGTGAGACTCCAACTCAAAAAAAAAAAAAAAAAAAATTAGCTGGGCATGGTAGCACGCACCTGTAGTTCTAGCCTCTTGGAAGGCTGAGGCAGAAGGATCGCTGAGCCCAGCCAGTTGACGCTGGGGTGGTCATAAATGTGCCACAGTACTCCAGCCTGTGCAACAAAGTGAGACTCCAACTCGACTCCAACTCAAAAAAAAAAAAAAAAAGGAGAGAAGTCTTTTTAGCCCTGTAAAAAGCCCACAAGAAAAAAAGACCAAACTCCCATATCTTAGAGGAAGTACAGGTCCCCAAATGCAGAGGGGTGTGGGCAATTGGAAAAAGTTAGTGTTTATATAAACTGCAATAGCTTCTGTATTTTGCTTTTACACTTAAAAACCTCTCACTTCCAAGTTCCCACACTATTCTGTCCTTCTCCCTTCCATCCATTTTCCTCCTGAGCATACCAGAAAATCTTTTATCTAATTACTTGATATAAGATGAACACTCTGTATATTCAGGCTTTCTGTACTATTAGGCTACTGTTGGGTTTTCTACCTATGATAAATGCACAAAAACTCCTCCTCAAAGAGGTGTATTTACTGAAGTTAACTTCTCTACTTTCAAATCCTTAACTTTTAAATAACTGAAGATAAATCAAAACAGAAAAATTTGCTCTCCTCGGAGTAAATTTATACTACCAAGGGTCCAGGTATAAAGGAAACCACCACACAAAATTTTGAAGACCGAGTTCTTTGAGGTTTTTGGTTTGTTTTTCTCAGTATCAAGGTATTGGGGACTCCTAGAGTGAGAGAAAACATATAAATCAGAAATTCCCTACATATTTTTATATTTTACAAGCCCTTTCAAAAGTATATTATTTTCATTTTAATAACAGTTGTCTTGGCTCAGTAAAGAACAGAACACTTAAAGGAGTGATTATTTGCTTGACCTAGTCACCTTGAAACTTTATTTAGACTATATCGAGCACATTTTTATTTTCCAAATGATTCACTTGACAGACTGGACACTATTAGACTGCCTCATGGCACTCTCTACTACTGATTAACATCTAAACTACTTAGTCTATCTACAACCTGGCAGAACATAAGCCTTACCGCTTCTCTATGGCCACATCTCAACCATTCTCTGTACTTTGGTTTGTATCACATCTTCCCCAAAAGGTATATCCACCCGGTTAAGTCTTATCCATCTTTGAAAATCCATGAAGGAAGCCTTCCATGTGAAGTGATCCTGATCTCTTCTAATCTTCTTTGTAACTGTTGAAGAACTTCCTATGTTTTACCCTCTTTTATAGTTTTTTTTGCCTGTTCATTCATATAAACTTGCATTTGTTTGTCATTCATCTACTGATCCCTTAAATCCTTATATGTATTAGCTGATAGTAATACAAAGGTAAACAAGATTAAATCCCTGCCCTCATGGAGCTTATGGTGTAAAATGACAGGAACAGAGGAGTGAATCATCATTTATACAGTATAGAATGGTGTCGTAACAGAAGCATGCAAAAAGTACTATAAAAACAGGTGTCTATACATCTAGATCCACTTGGAAAAAGCATTTGCCTCCCTTGTCTCTAATATAATCCCTCTCCTCTCTGCAGCCACAGAGGTCATCCTAAAACACAAATCTTACTGAAGTATTCACCTTGTTCTCACTCATAAGTGTGTACTAAACTCATAAGTGGGCACACAGGGGCTCAAGAATGGGAAAATAGACACTGGGCATTGCTAAAGGATAGAGGGAGGGTGGATAAAGGATACAACTATCCACTGGGTACCATGCTCACTACTGGTGGGGGGGAAACTCATCAGAAACCCAAACGCTGTCTTCAC